TGTTTAAATAAAGCTATACATAAATTCATTAATATAATATATGACGTAAAAGTTAGCCCAATGTTTTAATGTATAAACGATGTTCAATAAAGGAAATTGTATCCTTTACATTGCATAAATATAAATGCATAATTAATCATAAAAAATTATTGTTATGCTTTGTGGCATTGTAAATAATACTTCCATGATTGTGGAACCGGAATATAGTCGGAGTTAATGCAAACTCCCTTCATGCTTGCTATATAAATTTCAAGAGCCTCCAATGAATGTAAGTTGTGTCAGTCAAAAGCCCTATGCAAAAGAGTAGCTTCATCCCAACAAGGAGAAACTTCGGGTTCAGTAGCATACTGGGCTAGTGCAGTATAATACCTCCCCTTGGATACATCGTACTTGTGGTCCCGTATTCTAGCCTCTAGTGATCTGTACGTGGATCCGATGTATGTTATACATCTATTGAAATGTTTGTCCTGCAATGGAATGTGGTACATTTCTGGCATTTTCTTGACATCGGAATTGTCTTTTGCATTAGATAAGAGCTGGAAAATGTTGCATTTTCTCTTATAAGTTAAACGCAAGTTTAAATCCTTAGTAATTCTATTATAAATTTGTTGGAGGGATGGTTTGTAAGATATAATGCAATTGTGCTCTACATCAGTAACCCTTGTGTTGGTGATAGCTATCCTAGATTGCTGGTTGGCAGCGAGCCTGTTGATTGCTTTCGTGTTACGTTGTCATTTTCTATCAGTCTAATTCATCCTAGGTGTCACAGGCCTCAAAATTACATACCTACTAGGTTATTTGCGCAGCTGTGTGACGAAAATGACGAGAACTTTCATTGATTGCTCCTTCACACTGAAGTACGCTGGCTTATGTTTGACAAGATTTTTTTCACTTTTTGAGAGTTTTAGAGTTTTTGGATGATAACGATCCAATTTTAAAAAAAAATTTAATTAAGTGGAAACCAGACATTGTTTATTTAACAGATTTGTTCACTAAATTTAATGAGGTTAACTTGCAGTTTCAAGGTGACAGTCTAAATTTGATAAAAACAAAGTTCATCATTTCAGCCTTTCTTACCAGAATGAAACTAATGAAGGAAAACATTGGACGGCACAAAGTTTCCCAGTTTCTCAATTTGTCACAAACTGCCAGGATGATTTTCAGTCTACGTTCAACATTTAAATGTCCTTCACACAGACTTTGAAACTAGGTTTGAAGATGTATTGACTATGGAAATACCACAGTGGATTATCAATCCATATGGAGACACTGAAGAAACGGATGTCATATTACAAGAACTGATTGGAATAAGCACTAACAAAGAACTTAAGGTGCAGTTTAGAAAGGAATACAGTAGAGTGTCGTTTATCCGAAAGAATTCCAGTTGGCCTAAAGTATAATTTTTATTTGTTTTTATATTTTTTAATGTATTTATTTCGTTTGTAAAACATAAAGAAATCATTTTTAACGATACAATAGCCACGATTATTATTTTAAATAGTTTGCGTTAGGCTTAACATCGACGAAAATTCAACGCGAAGCGACACGCAACGGAGAAAAATTTCAACACGGGATAGGTTAATATATTTTTTCGCACGTAATCGGTTATCCGAAAAATAAGTTATGCGAACAACCCGTCCCCAACTGATTCGGATAAACGACGCTCTACTGTACTTCTGTTATTAGATCGATAGATTTCCTAAGCCCTCTAAATGCCAATTCTTGCTTTGAGAAAAAAATATATCTATATCTATATTAACAGATGTTATATATCTATTAGCCGTAACTATCTTGTTATAATTTTCAATATTTATTTTATATTGTGTACTAATATTAAATTGTATTCTATTTCGATTTCCAAATTGCTTCAATCTTACGAAAGAACCGATGCAAGATTCAGGATTTTCGTGTCTTTTGCCAGCTTTACTCAAATTATTTAAATCGTCAAAGCCAATCTCATTCTACACACTAATTTTATTTGAAAATAGGCAAGGCCAACAAAACAATTTTTGCATTTTTATGCATCCACAAAACCATTTTATATCTTCATAAATTTTATCGTGAAAATGTCAAACAAATTTTTTTGTCAACGTATTTTTATTTAATTTAGGAATTGGTCTTTCTCTTGTAATAATGTATTCTTTTTCATTATATGGTCTCGAGCCAAAACTTTTTTGAAATAAATTTTCATTATCACAATTACATTCTAAATTGCTAGCCATAATATAAGGGCTAATATTAAAAATAAAATTATAAAAACTTACTTGTTAAAATAAAATGTGTGATGGATATACAATTATACATACCTGATAGAAAATATTCAATTGTATGAACATACTTTTAAAGAAAGTTATAATTAAATATAGTTTTGTGAATAAACGTACATAAAAATAGCATAAGATATTCTTTACATTTTAAACATTAAAACAATCCACTTAGTTAAAAGTGCTCCCTACCAGTAACTCGTGGATGGAATCAGAGACGATCTTGGTAGGTGTGCGGTGCGTGCATGCATGCCAAATCCCGAGGGTGCCGATACCGGTTAACGTCAAATGCCTTTGTCGTATCACTAGTATATCTCAAAGGACGCGACAGGATTGTTATAAATTTTAAACGTTTCTCATCATAGCTGTAAAAATCTAAATACGTTAAACTTAATAGATGTCCGTCTTTTGTTTTCAAACTAATTCGTTTTAGGACCAGGTGTTGTCCACGGAAATTTCTAAAATTTATAACTTTTCGGTCACTCTCGTTGAACTGGAAACATTTCTGTCTTTATTACATCTAATACAGTATTTCGAAGAAATCAGTTCTCACTGTTCTCGGCTATAGATTCGTTCGGTTAAGCTTTTGTTTAAGTAATATTCCGGTATTAAGCAATATTCATCAGGGTTTTGTTTATGTCCCCAATTCCCTAATCGCTTAATTATTTAACTCCTTCTTAACTAGAAATAAGACGAAACCTGTTACTTTGTACTCGAATATTTGTAGTCTTGAGAAAAAGTGGAAATACAAATTTTTACGACAACGGATACATAAATCGTAAATTTAAGGAAAATAAATTCTAGAGCTTTTTCTGTATCTCGTGCATCTCTCTCATTCATTAAATTTAGTTGTAAATGACGCTGTCAAAGTAACAGTTAATTTTTTAACATTATACAAGAATTGTACATGTTTTTTTCTACATCCCCTTAGAAATGGGATATACGAAATCGTAATATCACTGGTTTAACATTGAAATCCGTGAGTAATATAAAATCGGAGAGCGGAATAAAAATATCAAATATTTTAATGGATTTTTTTAAACTCCTGTCAACTATACAGAACTATCATAAGAACATACCAGTAAATTCTTATCGGTTCAGTTGTTATAAATAGGGCTGTGGAGTCGCGTAAAAATCTACCGACTCCACACTTTTAATGGATTTTTTAAATTCCTGTCAACTATACAGAACTATCATAAAAACATAACTTAACCCAACCGATAAGAATTTACTGGTAAGTTATAAATCTACTCGTTATTCACGTAATCGGCCAAATTTCTAGCGGGCGGGCGGCTAACAGCCCGAAACCGGTCCCGGATAGAATTGGAAGCGTTATATGTGTAAGCATCAACCCAAGGTCGGAGGCTTCCACCGGCTAAACCGGGCGAGGTTGGTGCTCTGTAAAGCGCGTGCGCAAATCTGGCTTTTTGGAGTCTGACAATACAGAGATTCCACTCCGCCACTAATATTGGAATATACAATAGCATTCTTATTTTTTTTCACCTGTAGTATAGAAATTTGTAATAGGATACATAATGCGGTTATAATAAAATATTGTGCGATTATTTTCATATAATTAAAATTAATATGTATTTATTTTTTATAAAATACAAGGGAAGCGGCGCTTCCACCGCTTCTAATGACGGCACGCCACTGCTATAGCTATATTTAATTATAATTTTCTTTAAAAGTATATTCATACAATTTAAGAATATTTTGTACCAGGTATGTACCGGTACATCCACCACACATTTTATTTCACCGAGTAAGTTTTTATTATTTTTAATTGTAGCCCTTATATCGTGGCTAGCGATTCGGAATGTAATTGAGATATTAAAAATGCATTTAGAGAAGGTCTACGGTTTTTATTTACGATACGAATGGACCCTAGACCATCACTGACGCGCAATTGACTGATTGCCCTGGAAAGTCGGCTTCTTACAGAAACACAGCTTCCCTATCATCAAATGTCACGGCACGCCACTGCTTAATACTTAAATTTTCAATTTCATTACAATCTTCTAATGGTAAAATTTACTTCTATTAGCTTAATATTTAACAGCTTTATATAATTTAGAAATTAGAAAAAACAAATGGCTAATTCCATCATTTTATATAAATTCTTCTACCTAATACCAGTATTTTAAGTTTGAAATTAAATCTTATTTTTGGCAACAATAATTCGTTTAAACAGGTAATGGGAGCTAACTTAATGTAAGTCAATGAATTTTAAATTAAAAAAGACAAGCTTTTGATCTTATTTAAGATAATTTAATTAAATTAATCAAAAATTCTAATTTTATTCACTTAAAAAAACTCATCAAATTAATGTATTCCTGTCACATTGGACTGAATAAATGTAGCCTATATCCAAACTATTTTTTAAGTTAAAATAATTTTTGAATATAAATGAAATGTAGTTTTGAAATGACCAATGGTATATTTTTGCTTCCAGCTATTCACAGGAACTATTATACATTGTCTATTAAAGATCACTTTATTTTTTGTTATTGCAAATATATCAACTAAAAAGTTTTTTGAAATATTATTAAGCAATGTTATCTAATTTATTTTCTGAAGGATAATATGAATTCATNATTTTGTACAAACAAAATAAATATATTGAAAAATATAAAAACAATAAAAAATTATACTTCAGAAGTTAATTTAGTATCAAAAATGTAAAATATTTGAGTAGCCCAAGACATAGCCAAAGATTGCAGCGCCACAGCACTGGCGAAAATTTAAATTTGTCAACCGGAATTCTTTCGGATAAATGACGCTCTACTGTAATTGCATTTTGCAAAAATATTCTTCACATTGTGGGAAAAAAATTAAGATTTTTTGGGAAAATTTAAACCCAGCATTATTGTCAATCTGCATAAAATGAGGGCAGTCTGTATATGGAAGTTTGCAATAGCAAACTTCAAAGATATGTATTTATAATTTTACAACATGCTTTTGTGAGAATGTTTTACACATCATGAAATAGATTAAAAATATCATTTTTTTTATCACTAATATATATAATTTTATTTGTAATAATTCCAATTAATTACATTGTGCTAACTTTAGAACAAATATCATTAACATAAAATTAATATAAATTATTAAATCTGAATACATTACAAAATATCATTATTCATTAAATGACAAATTAAATTATTTATACAAATTATCAAAGAAAATATTGTTTATCTCTGTTTCAAATGATTATGTTTATGATGTAACAAGTACATTGCCAAGCATACACTATTATTAATAACCTATAAATTTTTGAAGTGAATGTGTGAAATGCTGCTTGTTCTATGATTATGAAATTATATGATGAATAATAAAAAGGTTATCTGTGGCTACTGTTTAATTCTAATTAAATATTGTTTTATCTGTATAGAATAGCATGTTAAACGTATGTCTGAACTAAACTCAAAAAATGAAAAATTTGTATTACAGAAACAAACTTCTATTTGAAACTATAATTGAATTAACTTTAAGTTTCAAAATAATGCAACTTCATAATGGAAGTTCTTATATCCATTTAAATGTAGTTATTCGTTTGAAAATAAAGAAAACAAAGATATTTTTAAAATTACATAAAGTAAGCAACAAAACAAAGAAGTATCTCTAACTAACCTACTGTCATCCCAATGAGAATGTTCTGTGAAATGGCTTTAAAAATTCAAGGAAGTAAACAAATATTTACATTATAAACAAATTTTTAACTGTACAGCTCAACAAGATGCTTTTCTCTTTTGAAAATTCTTTAGCAAGGTGTCACTCAGATTAGTTTCTAGAAGTTCACTTCACTAGAGGTCGAGTCTTATCGTCATCATCACAGGCATGTTCTTTGTACTTTTTGACTTCTGCCATATATCTTGACCAGGCATCTCTATTTTCTTGTGAATCATCATCTACATCCTAAAAAATATTAATAATGATATCTCCAATTGTTTTGAAGCCTACTTATCTTATATAGTTTATAATAAAATGCAAATATTAAAAGTAAACCAACAGTAAACACAATCTCAATAATTCATAATTTTTTTAAATTAAAAAACTATAAATTGTTTAATTAAGATCATGTTTATTATTTATATAATGTTGACATTATCTCTAATTTTTTTTATATACAGACCAATTAATTTTGATTTGTCTGAACAAAAAACACTGTCAACTCTTAATTTTATGGATCCAACTACAATGGATTTAAGAAGCAATGTGTTAAATCCATTTGTTGCAAGACATCTGTCAGACTGATATATAATATTTAAGAATATCAGACTGACTATTAGTGCATGACAGCTGTTGTGTATGTCCCTGTAGTTGATCATGACATCTTCAGATATAAAAGATGGACAGTATTACTAGACTATCACTTTCTTCCTATTACTCTATTATATCAAAGGTCTACAGCAGTTCTAATTTTTAGTAAACAAAACTACAAATCTTGTCAAACAAACTACCAATTATATGAAATATTCTGTTTGAACTGCCATCTGAAGTTGAAAAATCTTGACTTTGAAAATGTTAATATCTAATGTGAATGAATAAGATTGTTTAATCTGATAAAATTTATTATATACACTTGTTTATATCAATCAGAATATGTCTTCAATATCTAGTACATAATCACAATCAAACAAGGCCAAATTCTCTTCACACTATTTAAATTTTAAAATTTTCATCTAATCTTGATGTTACTTATTGTTTTGCCAGTGTCTGAAACATTGTTTTTCCCATTCTCTAAAAAAATACTCAATCACAATTCACATATCCTAGTAACAAATATATGTACGAGATTAATTAAATTTACCTAATTATAATACTGGATAAATTAAGACATGCTTTTTTTCAGGTCTTATAATGCAAAGTATTAGAAGTAAAATCAAACAGCAAAATGTATCACTAAAGAAACACGAGAAATCCAGAAGTTAAGAACTAAGAAAAAAATGTGTTTCCATTTAAAATTTTGTAAAAATAGTTATAAAAATATATTTACTTTCATACTATATATTTATACACTTTTTAATCTATAAATATATAGTATGATAATTTTTCTTGCTGTAGTGATGTAGGGGCTTATGGCAAGGTAACAGCTTGGTATCAGTACCAGTTGCTGACCTAGCTCAGGGTGCCAAATCCTGGTCCTCTTGTATGGTACATCAACTCTCACTTATGATTCCAAGAATCTGGTCATGCACACCAATGGACACACTCTGGGAAACCACTTTGGCTAGTGGGCCAAAAAAAGAATTTAAAAAATTGTGTTCTCTTGCTAGAGATCTTGGACATTGTCACTTTGATTCCACTTTATTTCAAACAATCATGAACCCCCAATTTTTACTACCTTTTTAATTTCCTTGTCTCATATTATGTAAAATGACAAAGTTTTCTCCTCTTCAAGAATAATATAATTTATTAATTAATTAATAATTATTTTAAATTTAATGAATCCTGTACTCAAAAATTCACATCTTATAGGGCTTGTACACATTAGGCGTTTTGCATTGCGTTAAATGCGCGTTAGCTCGGTGTTCGACAACCATTTAGTGGAGCGTTAGCACTGGCTCAGTTTGGAAATGGACGTGAAAGTAATTGCTTATGTGTGCCTCCTCCATCGTCGCTATAAAAGACAATGGCAAACGCAAAGAGAATTTTGGGTGCACCCAATATTACGAGATAGACTGACACATGGAATGTTTCTGACGTTGTATCCAAAACGAAGATAATATGAACCCAAATTTTTAAATTCTTTTTAGAATATCTATAAAATCATTTGATGATGGCTGGTCTCTTTTAGATTTCATCAATAAATAGATCAGTATTGAAATGATCGTTCTCCAATTTGGCCAACGTACGTCCACTCTACCCGAAAGTGCGTGATCGAATGTACAACAACATGGCAGCACATATATCTCAAAACGCGTGGCTGACGCCCGTAAAACGCGCATTTTAACAAAAATCTATCAATGTGCATTTGATGTGCTCTTGGCGAAAAGTGCACATTTGAGTATGTATGCCTATGCAGAACTCTTGATTCTTTATAATGCACGTTTAAAAACGCCTAATGTGTACACAGCCATAAACTCCAGTAACATGTTTAAACTTATTACTGGAGTTTAAGATTTAATTTTTTTTACTACAAGTATCATTTCCTCTAGTTGTTTATGATATTTTTGAATTTATTGAATTAAAAAATGAAATACTTACCTTTTCCCTAACCCCCTTCTGTGGAATTTTCTGTTTTTTCACCAGACCAGTCTTAAGGATTTTCCCTCCTCGCCGTTTACCCACCTGGGAAGAGAATAAGTACTTGCACCATTAGCAAAAGTCTGCAATTTTCATGTGGGAAGTATCCCTGGAGTTCAGTACAGTATTTGTGCAAGGAATTCTCTTGCTAATTTCCAAACCTGCAAGGTACAATGATTATAGAAGAAGCAATGGTATTTACCAAACAGCACAAGCCTATTATTGCGATTTTTTAAAAATACTTTTTAATGTTACGTTTCTAAAATTTTTCTCAGACAATACTTAATTATGCATCTTTGTATCTAAGATATTACATTATAAATAAATACTATTTATTTATAATATATATGCTATATTATTACAAAGTAGGTAAACAATACTGAATATAACCTCCATAATATTAATAATTATAAAATAGTAGTATTTTGAAATCGAAACTATTAATTTAGAACTGCATCACATATTATTCAATGCATATTTTGTTTTTTATGTGTATACAAGTTCCATTTCCTAACTACCAAAAAAAATTTCAAAAATATCAAGCTAATAAATTTATAACATTATACCTAGTAAAATATATCAGTAACATTTTTAACCATCATTATCAATAGTTAAGATAACTAATATTAACTTTAACTTTGCACAAGTAGTGAGTTTGTTCTGCCTGTCATGGAAAAATAGCATTTTATGATGCTAAAAGTAGTTGAATCACAGAGTTATAATTTTTATTATATAAGTTTTCCCAAATTCAAATAATTCTTTTTCATGCACAAATATTTGTATTATACTCTTTCTCCAGATTCTAAAAGTATTTACACAGAAAAGTCAGTCAGAGTAAGGACTACTACATTTTAGGAACTTTTCCTCAATATGTCAACTTTTAGTTCTACAATTTATATAACTTTTATAACAAAAATAGTAGCTTAAAGATATATCTGAAAAGTACACTAGTAGAAGAAAATAAAGAACCAACCCATTTTAAATTATTATTTTAAATGCATTTATAAATCTCAGAATAGCAATTAATTAATTTACAAACATTAAACACACACAATTAAATTTTAGTATTTTTTATATAAAATTTTCCTTTATTCAATTATTACTTTGAGTTAAATTATATAAAATACCTAGAAAGACTGTAGAAAAATAGTGACTAGAATTAGCAGCAAACCTATATAAATCCTACAGGAAAACAAAAAAACAGAAAAAAGCCAAATAATAGTAGCTAGTTAAAAGATGCAGGATCAGAAGCCTTATCATCATAAGTTCAGGAAGAATCCTAATTATGTATTTTAAATACTGATACAACAATCTCTGTATGAATTTACATGAAGTTAAATTAGACTTGTGCTGTTTTCTGTACACCATAATAAAATTGCAGGTATAGATCTTATTAAAATTAACCTGATTTAAAGCAAGTTACAGTGAATTCTTGATTTATAACTTTTATAATTTTGTTTTTAAAATAATCCCTAGTGCAACAGAAAAAAATTTTTAAAACTGATTTTTATTGCAAATTTATAAAAATTTGTTTACCATGCAAACTGAAAAATAGCAATATTTTAATAACAATTCATAATATTAAACAATAAAATCAAATAAATATAGAGTAAAGATATATAAAAAATAATTATTAAAAAATTATATTCTATCTATTCATTGTGATCACATAATTTAATGTCAAAATTTAAAGTGAACAAACTGTTTCACATCAATAATCAAATTATTTCTTTTTGACATTTTTAAATAAATAAAGACCCTATTATACCATATTATTTAGAGATATATATAATCTTCATTTAGTACACCCAAGTCTCAAAAAATATTATGAAATAGCAATGTTAATATTTATAAATGTAATGTTATTTCAAGATAATGCATACCATATTTGATTAATACAATACATTAAATCATATTTAAATAAATAAATAAATACACAATTTTTAATAGAACACTTAAAAATTACATGATGATATAAAATTTCCATTTTAAAAAAAACCTTGATAAAGTAATATTTTACTATCTTTGCTTTCATTTCTTCAATTAATTCGCACAAAATATTTATCTAATAAACTTAATGTAATTCTAAGTTGATAAAACTAAATGTAGTTTTTTTTTTCTTGTAACATAAGCTAAAAGTAAATTATATACAAGCACATATTAAATAAATAACCAACATTGAAAGTTGTAAACTGCTATGTAACAGATTCAATCTATAGATCATCAAGTACTTATGTCAATATCCTACTATTAAGCATCAAGCCAATCTAGGTTCAACAGGTTATTAATGATTTTAATATTTCATAATTTAAATTATATTTTCAACTTTTATCATGTTTTGTATTATATTTGACTTGCTATACATTTTTTGTTGTTAGAAACTTTAAAATTTTAAAATAAAAATCTTCTGTACTATAAAAAACACTAAATAAAACATTTACACCTTCTATCACTGAGAATACAGTAGACCCCCCTATAATACGGTAGATACGTTCAGTTTTATATGAATTTGTGTTTTTTGATCACTTAAATACATGAGCCAATCACAGCCCAACAAGTGTGCAGTTTAGAGACTACGGCTGTTTGAAAGGTTTTCTTCCATAAAATTAATCAATTCTAGACTAATTTGACTCAACATTTCCAAAACATGTATAATTTTTTGGGAATAATCCATATAAACTATGCTATAAACAAAAAATTATAGGACTACTTACCGAGTGTGCACCATCCGACAACACCATTGCTTAAGCTTGTTTTCGTCGTGGAGCGGTGCAATGAATGGCAGGCGCATGTTTTCTGATAAGTTATTTTTCTGTGAAAAATTCACTGAACTTTGGATGCATCATTAATATAAATATAATTTTTATGGTCGTTAAATAATAAATGGTTTTTAGTAGGTCTGCTGCTCGTTTAAACTCAACGGTTTGTGCAATATCCGCTATTGGTCCATTCCAACAATCCTGTCGCGACACAAGTCGGCAATGATGTTTTACTGTATTATAAGAGTTTCTTTTAGTGTGTTTATACGAATACGATCAAAATTTTTTCGCTTTGATATACAAATCCATATTACATGAACCCATTTTATAGGGGGATCTACTGTACTTTATGTAAACACAAACGTTTTCAGCCTAATGGAATAGGCCATCTTCAGGTAAGAAGCTGAGTTTGATATTTAATTACCATTATGGCAGCACCGGCCAGGAACTATAAGAAGTATAGGAAATTGGCATTGAAGATAGTAAGGGTGGATAGTAAACTAAAATTTCTTAAGCAATGTCTGCTTAACAAAGTCTATCTGATGTCCATTTATAGAGTTAATTTTTTATGTATTTATTTTATTTTATTAGCATTATTTATATTCTTATGGCTTCAATGTATTTAGTATATTNAAATGTAGTTTTGAAATGACCAATGGTATATTTTTGCTTCCAGCTATTCACAGGAACTATTATACATTGTCTATTAAAGATCACTTTATTTTTTGTTATTGCAAATATATCAACTAAAAAGTTTTTTGAAATATTATTAAGCAATGTTATCTAATTTATTTTCTGAAGGATAATATGAATTCATTACACTTTGCATATCAAAGATAAAAAATTATTTCTAAAAAGTTGTATAACACTTTTACAAATTTATGTAAATTATTTTATAAAATAGTATTTTAGAGACTAATCTTGTGATTACTATCTTATCTAATCTTAGGGCCAAGAAGAAAAGGGGAGCCAAATCTTACGGCTCTGAGGCCAGCTGGAATCTGTAAACAGACTTTTAAATATGAAATGTAAATAATCAATTTATGTAATTTCAGAATGCATAGAGCATTTATGCATTTGAAGAGAACTGAAAAATCAAAAGCAAATCAATAGGTGGCATAAAGAGGCCTAACCTAACAGATCCTGGTCTTAGTAAGTCAAACTTATATACAGGCTGTACTGTATATGAATATACTGTAAATATAAATATACTGCTTTAAATATATTATTTTTAAAGCAGTATATTTAAATGCTAGATTAACAAAAATTCTCTCAATTTAAGCTAATTAACTTAACTGCTCACATTTAGCCAAATTGTTTTGTATCTAATTATTAATTAACCTTAACGTAGCCTGAAAATAATCTGGCAGATTGCTATTTCAAATATTTATGGACAAGATTTGTCCCTCAGTATTCATTGGTGCTTTAGGATGACATTGTATTGAGGTTTGGCTATGTATGATTTAGTGATAGTAAAAAACAGACATTAATAACTCAAATATAAACAATTATTATATATAAATAATGTACTTTGGTTGTTAGTGATATAATTTATTTTAGATTCTGTTCTTTTTCTGATAGCATCTTTATTTTAAAAGTTATCGACTATTCAGACAGAAAAATTACTCTAAAATGATGTAATAATTGAGCATAATAAAGTCAAACCTCTGAGTAATAGTCACTAACAAACAAAAATGGCTTGACTGTAATAAAGTTTGGCTTTTGCCACTATATTCATTTTGCAAGTAACTTTTACACTTATTATTTAAAAAGAGCTTGAGAATTTCTTTCTCTTGACATTCTTTTAATTAATACCAAAAATAATCAGAACATATCATATCATCATCATCACTCTTGGAGTAAGAAGTGATCAGATGTTTGAATGTTTACATGTCTGAAAGTTACACAAGAATCTTTACCTGAAGAAATGTTATAACTATAAAATATAAATCTTACAGAATCAGCAGAACTTATTAGGAGCAACATGTTAATTTACTATTAACAGTTTTATATCGTTTTGCTCCATTCTATTACAAATTTCATGTCCCTTCACATTTTTATTTTTGAATTTCTTCCATTCTAAAATTTGTTGATGACCATTGTACACAGCTAACTAAATTTGGTAAAATTTTAAGGCTCTTTGCTTTATAATTACAGACTGCCCTCATTTTGCACTAGTAATGCATTCCTGGAAGAAACAGCATAAAAAAAATCAGCACAAAATAAATCCATTTCATTATAGAATAAACAGGGATGCATTCCAAGCATCCACAAATGAATACATATAACATTTTCAATAAAAACATGTTTAGTACCAAAATTTTTACTTATACAAAATTATATCTGAAAGTAATGATCAATTTTTATGCTATCATTGTATTTATTTCATAAGTATAGCAGTGCCACTGGACACAAATGAATGATCCTGGTTAAGGATCATTCATTGATGATGGACTAGGCCAACATATGGCCTGCAAGCCGGATCTGGCCCGTCTAATGAATTTATGCGGCCCGTGATTAATCTTTCAATATTAGCTACTCAAGTCCGAATAGCTCGATGAAAAATTCTGACACGTAAAAAAAATAAAGGTCAACAACTCACTGTGCGTTTAGAGTTAACCCTCCATTACAAATCTCTTAAGTACAGCATAGAATGTTGATAATGCATGATAATGTGAAAAATGTATCTGTAATCTCTATGTACAATTTAGTCTCTACGGGTGATACCACAATGAAATCTCGCACCACCTCAAAATCTTCCTAGGGCAGCCTCTGGTTCAGCCTGCGAAGAAAGTTCTCTTTCCAATTTGGCTCGGGGACAAAAACTGTTGGCCACCCCTGGACTAGGATAAGGATCATGTACCTTTGTGAGATGCGAATCTAAAGTCGTTTGCTTTGTCTTTCTTTTCTTATCTTTGGAAATTTCGTAATAAGATGCTGAGGCTTCATTTAAACACCTTACAAAGTCATTTTGCTTACAGTCAGGATCCTTTCAATCAATAAGCTGGCATTAGCAAGAAATTGTTCAAGGATGTTTATCTAAAATTATTGATAGATGTGATTTCTTGACATTTTGAACATTTGGATTCATTACTTTTGTTTTTACATGGCTGTTCTATTTTTATTATTACACATTAACCTCAGTTTAAGATGATAAAATATCATGTGAACAATAAACATTTTAGAATACAACAACAAACCAACATTGCATAGAATCACTATTAACATTAAAGTAAAGTTGCTACTTGTACAATAAAGCACAAATATATATATATACACAGTAAAGCGTCGTTTATCCGAATCAATTGGGGACTGGGGTTGTTCAGAAAAATTGATATTTCAGATAACCGATTATGTACGAAAAAAAAATATTAATCTATTCCAAGTTGAAATTTTTCTCCGTTGCATGTCGCTTTGCGTTGAATTTTCATCGATGTTAAGCCTAACGAAGACTATTGTATCGTTAAAAATTATTTTTTTATTTTAAACAAACAAAATAAATATATTGAAATATATAAAAACAATAAAAAATTATACTTCAGAAGTTAATTTAGTATCAAAAATGTAAAATATTTGAGTAGCCCAAGACATAGCCAAAGATTGCAGCGCCACAGCACTGGCGAAAATTTAAATTTGTCAACCGGAATTCTTTCGGATAAATGACGCTCTACTGTAATTGCATTTTGCAAAAATATTCTTCACATTGTGGGAAAAAAATTAAGATTTTTTGGGAAAATTTAAACCCAGCATTATTGTCAATCTGCATAAAATGAGGGCAGTCTGTATATGGAAGTTTGCAATAGCAAACTTCAAAGATATGTATTTATAATTTTACAACATGCTTTTGTGAGAATGTTTTACACATCATGAAATAGATTAAAAATATCATTTTTTTTATCACTAATATATATAATTTTATTTGTAATAATTCCAATTAATTACATTGTGCTAACTTTAGAACAAATATCATTAACATAAAATTAATATAAATTATTAAATCTGAATACATTACAAAATATCATTATTCATTAAATGACAAATTAAATTATTTATACAAATTATCAAAGAAAATATTGTTTATCTCTGTTTCAAATGATTATGTTTATGATGTAACAAGTACATTGCCAAGCATACACTATTATTAATAACCTATAAATTTTTGAAGTGAATGTGTGAAATGCTGCTTGTTCTATGATTATGAAATTATATGATGAATAATAAAAAGGTTATCTGTGGCTACTGTTTAATTCTAATTAAATATTGTTTTATCTGTATAGAATAGCATGTTAAACGTATGTCTGAACTAAACTCAAAAAATGAAAAATTTGTATTACAGAAACAAACTTCTATTTGAAACTATAATTGAATTAACTTTAAGTTTCAAAATAATGCAACTTCATAATGGAAGTTCTTATATCCATTTAAATGTAGTTATTCGTTTGAAAATAAAGAAAACAAAGATATTTTTAAAATTACATAAAGTAAGCAACAAAACAAAGAAGTATCTCTAACTAACCTACTGTCATCCCAATGAGAATGTTCTGTGAAATGGCTTTAAAAATTCAAGGAAGTAAACAAATATTTACATTATAAACAAATTTTTAACTGTACAGCTCAACAAGATGCTTTTCTCTTTTGAAAATTCTTTAGCAAGGTGTCACTCAGATTAGTTTCTAGAAGTTCACTTCACTAGAGGTCGAGTCTTATCGTCATCATCACAGGCATGTTCTTTGTACTTTTTGACTTCTGCCATATATCTTGACCAGGCATCTCTATTTTCTTGTGAATCATCATCTACATCCTAAAAAATATTAATAATGATATCTCCAATTGTTTTGAAGCCTACTTATCTTATATAGTTTATAATAAAATGCAAATATTAAAAGTAAACCAACAGTAAACACAATCTCAATAATTCATAATTTTTTTAAATTAAAAAACTATAAATTGTTTAATTAAGATCATGTTTATTATTTATATAATGTTGACATTATCTCTAATTTTTTTTATATACAGACCAATTAATTTTGATTTGTCTGAACAAAAAACACTGTCAACTCTTAATTTTATGGATCCAACTACAATGGATTTAAGAAGCAATGTGTTAAATCCATTTGTTGCAAGACATCTGTCAGACTGATATATAATATTTAAGAATATCAGACTGACTATTAGTGCATGACAGCTGTTGTGTATGTCCCTGTAGTTGATCATGACATCTTCAGATATAAAAGATGGACAGTATTACTAGACTATCACTTTCTTCCTATTACTCTATTATATCAAAGGTCTACAGCAGTTCTAATTTTTAGTAAACAAAACTACAAATCTTGTCAAACAAACTACCAATTATATGAAATATTCTGTTTGAACTGCCATCTGAAGTTGAAAAATCTTGACTTTGAAAATGTTAATATCTAATGTGAATGAATAAGATTGTTTAATCTGATAAAATTTATTATATACACTTGTTTATATCAATCAGAATATGTCTTCAATATCTAGTACATAATCACAATCAAACAAGGCCAAATTCTCTTCACACTATTTAAATTTTAAAATTTTCATCTAATCTTGATGTTACTTATTGTTTTGCCAGTGTCTGAAACATTGTTTTTCCCATTCTCTAAAAAAATACTCAATCACAATTCACATATCCTAGTAACAAATATATGTACGAGATTAATTAAATTTACCTAATTATAATACTGGATAAATTAAGACATGCTTTTTTTCAGGTCTTATAATGCAAAGTATTAGAAGTAAAATCAAACAGCAAAATGTATCACTAAAGAAACACGAGAAATCCAGAAGTTAAGAACTAAGAAAAAAATGTGTTTCCATTTAAAATTTTGTAAAAATAGTTATAAAAATATATTTACTTTCATACTATATATTTATACACTTTTTAATCTATAAATATATAGTATGATAATTTTTCTTGCTGTAGTGATGTAGGGGCTTATGGCAAGGTAACAGCTTGGTATCAGTACCAGTTGCTGACCTAGCTCAGGGTGCCAAATCCTGGTCCTCTTGTATGGTACATCAACTCTCACTTATGATTCCAAGAATCTGGTCATGCACACCAATGGACACACTCTGGGAAACCACTTTGGCTAGTGGGCCAAAAAAAGAATTTAAAAAATTGTGTTCTCTTGCTAGAGATCTTGGACATTGTCACTTTGATTCCACTTTATTTCAAACAATCATGAACCCCCAATTTTTACTACCTTTTTAATTTCCTTGTCTCATATTATGTAAAATGACAAAGTTTTCTCCTCTTCAAGAATAATATAATTTATTAATTAATTAATAATTATTTTAAATTTAATGAATCCTGTACTCAAAAATTCACATCTTATAGGGCTTGTACACATTAGGCGTTTTGCATTGCGTTAAATGCGCGTTAGCTCGGTGTTCGACAACCATTTAGTGGAGCGTTAGCACTGGCTCAGTTTGGAAATGGACGTGAAAGTAATTGCTTATGTGTGCCTCCTCCATCGTCGCTATAAAAGACAATGGCAAACGCAAAGAGAATTTTGGGTGCACCCAATATTACGAGATAGACTGACACATGGAATGTTTCTGACGTTGTATCCAAAACGAAGATAATATGAACCCAAATTTTTAAATTCTTTTTAGAATATCTATAAAATCATTTGATGATGGCTGGTCTCTTTTAGATTTCATCAATAAATAGATCAGTATTGAAATGATCGTTCTCCAATTTGGCCAACGTACGTCCACTCTACCCGAAAGTGCGTGATCGAATGTACAACAACATGGCAGCACATATATCTCAAAACGCGTGGCTGACGCCCGTAAAACGCGCATTTTAACAAAAATCTATCAATGTGCATTTGATGTGCTCTTGGCGAAAAGTGCACATTTGAGTATGTATGCCTATGCAGAACTCTTGATTCTTTATAATGCACGTTTAAAAACGCCTAATGTGTACACAGCCATAAACTCCAGTAACATGTTTA